CAAATTTTTGAGATTCGATAGGACTTTCACCAAAATTTTTTAAACGATAATTTCTTAAATCTTCAATAGTTTCATAATGAAATACAAAATTTAAAAAATTTCACGGGTTTTTTTTCGCAAATATTCATCTTGATTACAGGTCAAGTATGGTTATCACATGAAAATGAGACTAGGAGTCTGATGTGAACAAATTTTGTAATCAAGCGTAATTGTCACGCAATAATACTGCTAGGTCGAGCAATGATCGCAGTAAGCAAGAGTGAGTCAATGTAGATAAGCATTAGGTCACACACAGCATTTTCAGTTCATGTCAAATTTTAACCAAAAAAGTATTATAGATAAAATTTATCACGTGACTTTGAAATATTTATGTAATTTTATTAATAGTTATTTCGTTTATGTATTTATACATAAAGTTTGAAATGTAAGCAGAAAAATTTTTGTATTAAAAAAAATTGTTAATTATTATGTAAATGTTATCAATAAAATCAATTAATCAGTGTTGCCTCAACATCAGCGCTCCACACTTTCGCAATGTCAATATATTGAACTAAATAAATACTAATCACTCACAATACTTATTAATTAAATTTGCTCACACTTCTTACAGTACACATATATACCATACACCTTCCTTTCCTCCCTTGCGATATATTTGGTTTTGTCATTTTAGCATTATAATTTTTCATCCGCAACTTTGTTTATTTTAAATTCCCTATTTTCTTAGTTCATATTTTTTATTTTCATAATTGCGTGTGGAATGTTGAGCTATTTTAGGATTTCCAGCTCATATTTATAAAAAAAAAATAATCAGGACAGCCTGACATCCTACTATCCTGTCATCATAACAATGGCATCTGTCAAAATGATTTACAAAGGACTAACTGCAAATATTGAAAACAAACTACATGCGAAATTATAGTTTTTTGTGCAGAATTTATTAAATGTAACAATATGTTTACATTTTTTTAATGAAGAAGCTTCCCAGTTTTTTTTAAAATTGTAAAAATATTAACATGAGATTGTAAGAAGAAATATAGACATCTCCTCTATCGTAATTTTATGATTATGAAAAGCGCATTTATTCGAAAGTTATTTTGATAACCTTAATAATCAAAATAAGAATTTTAATTTCATAAAAGAATGTTATATTCGAAATTTATTTAACGGTTACAATAAAAAAAACTCTTTTATTAAACGAATATAAATATTTAACATATAGTAAAGTATAAAAAATAAAATAATAACTGTATATCGATCTAATCATGCAAGTATTCATTCAGGATTATAGTTACGTAAAGATTATTTCATTCAAGGATGAAAAACTTTGAGTATTCCCTCGAAGCATAGCAGAATTTTCTCATCTGGATTCAAAACTAATAACAAATAATAAGAAAAGATTAATTCATGAACAATTAACAAACATTAAAATTATTTTGTTATTTACATACTGGTGACTCTTGTATAAATTGGAGTTACAATATTCTTTGGTTCATTAGAATCATATTTCTCTATAAGCAAGGTTGCAGCAAAGTCAAAGTTTCCTTTTTCAAATGGGCAAACGAACCCGCTTGGTTCGATAAATAATTCACAAAATTCAAATTCATGCTCAAAATTTCCTTTAGGATCATGATATATTCTCATCATTGCATGTAAACGGTTAAATTTTGACCCGCAACAAGAGGATTTGGAGATAACCCCAATAAAGTAAGACTTATTGCGTAGTCTCTATCACATATTTTTAAGTTATCGAAAGTAGGTTCTTGATGTTTTTATAAATTGAATGAATTTGGTTTGACGAATGATGCTAAGATCAAGGAAATATAGACTAAAGTTATAAATCGATTCATCATTTTCAAAAATTGCTTGCTTATATTAGAATTCGAGAATGAAAAGCTTTGTAATGTTTGAAAGTTGAAAACAAAAATAAAGAAGGCAAACGACGCTGATTTTATATTTGCGAAACTTGAGTAGGGATGGGGACGGTTCTATCGGTTCCATTTCGGTTCCTCTTCGGTTCTACTTCGACTCTTCTTAAGTAAATTA